GAATAGTCCAATCAAGGAATGAGGTGTAGAGTGCGTGAGCAGGTAACTTAGCGATTCCTTCAGAAACTTGTTCGGGGGGCTTAGGGTATTAACATACTAAAAGTCCTGACACCTAGGTGGTGAGCCGGAGGGGGGGAGGGGGGTTAAAGTTGCGCTTTTTGGGTTTTTCGCTTATATCTCGTAAACGGTGCATCGGAGGAAAATTTTTTTAAATAACAAAATAAAGCTCATGAAATTATCTAAAACTTTTATATCATATGTTTTTTTCGAATTCACAACCGTTTTCGAGCTACACCTTCGAAAAAAGTAGAATATTACAAAAAAAACCATTTACCTCCCTATATTCATAAAACAATCCATCATATTGTCTAAACCTATTCATAAACTAAAAATATGCATAGAAAAGAAGTTGTAGATATTTAAATTCACTTTCAGAATATATACACATATATTAATTGTTAATCTCCAAGCTGCCTAAATTTATAGCTATTTTACAACTTTCATAACATTTTGCAATTTTCAGAAAATGTATAGGTATATCATATTCTTGACCCACAACCTTTGTTCGTTTATGTAATAATATATGTGGCCACACTTTTAAGAAGTAAAACAGACAAAAATAATGATAATACACACTTTATTTTACAGATAAGTAGTTCTCAAGTAATTCTTAATTTTACATGCAATCATATTTTCATTTTCTTTGAATTTGAGGGCCCAGGTTGTTCATCCATTGCATCTTTGTCTGTAGTAATGGGTGCCTCTTGCTCTTCATCGTCCTCATCTTCAACAGGCAAGCTGTTCATGCATTTACCTTGGCAGTGGAGGCACGCTGCAGAACAAGTCAGCATTGCTTTCCGGCAGCCACTTTTTCCAATCATACAATATCATATCACGGAGCAGGTTTTAGGCATAAATAAAGTTCGATAATGTTAGTCAATAATTAGTTATCTATACATATAAAATCCAAATACCACTGACTCACTGATCGCTGTATCTCAAAAACTACTCAACGTACGGACTTGAAATTTGGAATACAGGTTCTTATTCTCATATTTTCACCGTGCAATAAGAAAGGATTTGCGAAAATTCGCATTTTAAATAGGTGCTCAAACAGGGACATTGAGATTCACGATGGAAATTGGAAATTTTATTTTTATTTATTAATAGTTGCCATTGGTTACAGTCTACAGTAGAAATTAGCATTTATTTATTGGTTGCCATTGGTTATTCGGGCAGATCAGGTACAAGCTTGCATCAAATCGAAATATTGAACATTGCCTACCAAGGTGGCTAAGTTGCACTTACCGCAGCAAGTTACACCCAAAAGGAGTTCAACAATCATAATTTTTTTAAGAGTAGCGATTTTTTACGAGCAACCAAATTTGTTATATTAATCCACCGTATTATATCAAAATAAACTTGGTATAACTTTGATATTTTAGAGTTAAATCATACACTTCCGTATAAACAGCACGGGGTCCGCGATCTACCTGATAATGTACTGCTGCGATTCAGAATTTTTATTAAGGGCAACGGAAAAGATAAGATAAATTTTGAACACCATACACCGAATATTGAATAACGAATTGAACAAAGTTTGAGTCATATTGAGTTGATACATTTATCGGGAGACGAAGTACACGGGGATCAGCTAGTAATATTATATAGACATACGGGTAACGGAATGACAAGTTGAACACTCGAACATTTCCAAATATTTACTATTATATATTTATATCTATATTTATTACTAGCCAACAATATTATAGTCTATCATTAAGTTTATAATCGCTATTAATATTTTTAGAAGTTGGATGGAAATTATGATTTTATGAACAAATGGTGATGTAGTTTAAATTTATATAAGTAATAAGTAGAATATGTAATATAATATGTTGTATAACATTTTTATTGCAAGAATAAATTGAAAAAAAATTAAAAACTCAATTTATGCATATATTAATTTTTTAATAAACACAAATGCCCTAATCTAGATGTTTTTTGAGGGAGGGTCATCCAAGAAAAGGGGTGGCAGAGTAAAAAATGAAAAAAACGAATATGGTAGATAATATGATGGATTGTTTTATGAATATAGGGAGGTAAATGGTTTTTTTTGTAATATTCTACTTTTTTCGAAGGTGTAGCTCGAAAACGGTTGTGAATTCGAAAAAAACATATGATATAAAAGTTTTAGATAATTTCATGAGCTTTATTTTGTTATTTAAAAAAATTTTCCTCCGATGCACCGTTTACGAGATATAAGCGAAAAACCCAAAAAGCGCAACTTTAACCCCCCTCCCCCCCTCCGGCTCACCACCTAGGTGTCAGGACTTTTAGTATGTTAATACCCTAAGCCCCCCGAACAAGTTTCTGAAGGAATCGCTAAGTTACCTGCTCACGCACTCTACACCTCATTTTGGGTCATTCATTGACTGGACTAGAAACCAAATACCTTGCTAAAATATTGGACAAGCAACTTGGAAACTTCCAAAATAAACAAAATCTGGCTATGAACAAATTTGAATTTTCGTGCCCAAAATCCAAACTTAATCTTAAAACCAAAATGATAGTATTAAAAACTATCATTAGACCTTCTTGGTTATGTGGTATTCAAATTTGGGGGCTTGCTGAACCCTCAAATATCTGGCCCATTTAATCTTTCGACAACATTCTTCTTCGCACTAATATACTGGTACACCATATGGTATACGCCTTGGTATGTGATATTATAGTGACCAACTAATCACTACATAATAACACGAAAATAAAAATTCACAAAATTAGATAAAATATCCATAATACTTATTTATATTAATAACCTATTAGAAAACTCAATTATAACATAATATATACACCTGACAAGTATCTTCACAGTGTTGCACGTAACCGAATTTGTGACTTGGTATGTCTTTCTCAATCATGGTACATATTCATGATTCCCAGGAAATTACTTATAATTTATAATGCACTAAATAACTGTACAGCTTGTTTTGTGTTTTAATAATAAGCGCCTTCACTGGTTGGTTCTTCCCTCAAGTCACTCAAGCCGTCACATCACAATTTAAAAAAACAACCATTATGCTTATTATACTGTTTTTAATGTATAGATTGTATAAATTCTAAATGAAAAAAATATAAAAATATAATAACAATAATAATAGCAAAAAGTGTATTATATATTTTAGGTTAATAACCTATAGGTATATAACGACCCGTTTAATGATAATTTATTGATGCACAATACTTGAATTAAGCTGATCGTTTATAGACAGGTGATTTCAGGTGCGTGCAATGATTTGGAATGTCTGTAAATGAGTATAATATTATACTTCGGTATATGAACTAGAACCGATTTCAGCAGCAGCGATGAAAAGCGAAAACGCGGCCCTAAGTGATTTCTATCTGCAGTAGTTTGTAATATACGTAAGTACCTATAATATTTTATACCCTACATTATCTTGTATTTATTAATGACCTCCTCCTGACGGGTGGTGACGGCGGCGAAGATTAAAAACGATCGGAACACATTTCGCGGAAGTCGCCTGCCGCGGGGATGCACATAATAATATATTATAATACGAATAAGTGGCGCTCTTAACGTTTTAAATACATATAGGTATGTGATATAGATACCCACATTATAATATTATGTATACGTATAGTAATAATAATGTTAATATAATCGAAGCGATTTAGCATCGATCAATCGATCTGTTATAACGATAATCTCCCATAACCATCTCTCTCTCGAAAAAAAAATCTCTCTCTTCATCACAGGCGTCTGAATTAACGCAACCTGCAGCAGCTATATGTAGAGTATTAGGGAGCACATAATATTATTATAAACACATTCGCTCGGCGGTTTATGATAATTTATTTGCATGTAATAACAATATGTGCAATGAAAAGTACATAATATATACATGGGTATAGTATATACCGAATACATTCAAAACCCTTGGAGCTCTGCGTCACACTCACTATAGCCCGACGACGACTCGTCGCGCAAATAGTAGTTTTTATGCTTCTATATAATATTTATGTGTGTCATATTGTGTGCTAGCACACACCTTTGATTATAATAATATAATAACAACAAAAGCCCTACGATGCGTGAAAACGAAGGGCGTACCTCGCACAAGAGCACATCGTCGTCGTCATCGTTGAGAGTGACAACGCTTGTCATATTATAATGATACATAAATAGACGACCTCAAAACGTATAACGGAACAATAATCATAATAATAATTATTGTTACCATATTTTAATACTATATATGAGATGACAATCGCTCCTGCTCTATGGCCCACCAGTGTTCTACCATTCCTCCCTCGGAAACACCCTTCGAAGTCTTACGTCTTATCTAGTGAAAAACGGATCGGTACCTACATGTCTATACGAGACTTTTATTTACACTTATAATATAGGGGCCCAGAATTGCAAAAGGCAGAGCGACCACTCAACGCGAAAACGCGGCAAGTATATATGTTACACTATATTATATTTCAACACGTCGTGTCTTTTTTTTATTCCTGATCCCACAACTTTTGGTCTTGTCGTGCTTTCTTATAACTTCCACACTCGACCCTCATATCGTTTATTTTAAATAAATAAAAATTACGGTTCTACGGTCTCTCTCGGTATATAATGGTAAAAACCCATATTATGTGGCACTATGTGGCCATAAGCATAATATTGAAACACCGACATACACACACACACCTAACTAGTAACTACCTAACTACCCTCTATTGTCTACATACATAAACAATACGTATCGATGATTCAAAGTTAATAAATTAATATATGTTTAAATATATTTGAGCAACCGTTCTTCGAAATTCAAAAAAAAAATAATAATAAATAATAAAATAAAACGACGCACAAGACGAAAGAGAGTGCGTGGCTCGAGCGATCCTATGTTTGTCGTTTGTGTGTGCGTGTTTGTAGTTTGTTTGTTTGTGTTTTGTTTCGTTTGGCGGGTGAGAAGATAATATCATAAGAATAATAATGTAAATACCACAAATATAAGATGCGTTCTCACCTCGACGACTATTGCTAATGTTGTTGTTGGTTGTGTGAGAAATGGTTTGATGATGATGTTGGTTTCGGCTAGCCGTACCGCAGGTAATAGTGCTCGCGCCGAAGCTCGAACAGCCGCTCGCGGAGCATGCGCTGCTTCTGCTGCATGACATGCTTCTCGGACAGCAGCCGCCGCTCGTCGAGTATCATGAGGTCGCACTCCCGCTTGGCACCCCTCAGTGTGCTCAGCTTGGACTGTATCTTGCAGCCCTATCTGGACGGGGTCCATGAGTTTGGTCTTGTAGTTGTAACCATCACCGCCGATGTTCTCGTACTTGATTTTCTTGCCAGCGCCGGACTGATAGTGGTAATGTATAGCTTGGTTAATGACGACTTCGACGAGCTGGACAAAGCAGTGTTCTTCTTCTTGCGGGCGCCACTCGACGACCGACGTCAACGCGCCCCGCAACACTTTATCCCAGTCCATGTCGTGGTCGTCGTCATCATCATCGTAATCGTCGTCAAACATGTCGTCCGGTTAGTTCTTCATCAGCGACTCGAAGTCCGCATCCATGTCGTCATCGTCGTTATCGCCTTCACGGTCTTCATCCTGCTGATGTTGTTGCCGCTGTTTTCGTCGCTAACGCCGGCCGACAAACCGTTGTCGTTTACAGGATCTTCTTTGATGATGGACCTGTCCTTTCAGTTGGTGTTGTCCTTCTTGTATCGGTAAAACACCGACAATCCACCGCACATCTTTTTTGGGCGGTGCCCAGTGGCTGTCGCAGTGGCCGACTGGCCGGCTGTCTTGCACTTCCGCTTGACCGTGATCTTCCACTTGGTCACGGGTGGTTCGCGCTGCTTGACGATGCCGCGTTTCATTATGTCCGTAATGGTGGCATCCTTGAGAGGCGTATCTGACGTTTCGCAGTTGTCGTTGACCACGTCGATCTCTTTTTCTTGTGCGAGAAAAAACAGTGTGCATATTAATTACCGAATTATTGTATAGTTTATAATATAAGTTCGTTTATTCATTTATTTATTCAAGTTTCAAAAGGGCTTGTCCCAATTACATAAATTAGATAATAATAACAAACGTTCTCAAATAATTAAACGAAAAACAACAAAAATATAAAATATACAAATACAATATAATACTTATGAATATTAACAAGTATACGAAATCACAAAATATTTTAAATTATTCGATGTATACTGATATTAACAAGTCAATTTTAAGTTCGTTAATGGTTTTTATAATTTTATATTATTGTATTGTAGGATGTTATTAATCGCATAATTAAGTATAGTTACTTATGTGTTAAGATAAAATGTATTTTTAGATAATTAGATCTAGTATTACTAGTAGGAGTGTGTAAGAAAAACAACTTAGGAACTCAGAACTCATAATATATGTAGCAATTATCAGACAAATTACTATTTTTGATAACTAGTTATCTTGATTACTAGTTTTGATTTCATCACTTGACGTATATTTTTTGTCGTCTCTCCACGACTTCTCACACAGCAACGACTTGAGTTGCTATAATCATATCGAAAATGTTTTTTCGTCGTAGTTTATATCTTTTGCTTTCATGCCAACGTTTTCGTAGTATAGTTCTCACCCGATACTACTTACATCCTATTTCAGTAATCCGCAGAACCGGAATTTCGAAACTTATTAAATATTTCAAGAATAGTTTTTTGTAAGTATACAAAATATATGACTGTGATTATTAAAATTTATTGTACATGCAATTAGAAATAACTTAAAAAAAAGATGACTTAAGATTTTGGACGCTTCAATAATTATTTTTTTGGCATGTAATTCGGATGCACCGTAATCTGTAGTTGGACGAAAATATGCTGCACAAACTTGTCCCCTAAATAATAACGTTTAACGCTGCCCGTACCATGTAGGTACGACGAATATAATATTTTAATAATCAAATTATTATTATCATTATTATTATTATTGCTATTGCACGCGGATAACATCTTTCGCTACGACTTTATTCAACTCGAACCTGTATCATTGCTGTTATAGTATTAGGGCATAGTTTAGGCCACTCATATTATTATGATTTATGTTATACTACGTAGGTGGGCGAGCGTCATGTTTCGACTTATTCGTGATAATGTTTCACTGTCGCGGTTTAGTCGGAAGACTGGAAGAGTGACATATTTTAAAATTTCCCAAACCAAACATTCGTTTATGTATTCGATATAAATCACATTCGGCGTTCAGAGCCGATGACGACGTGACATGACATTTCAACAAAGTTACCTCCACTACTGTAATATAATAATTCTCAATTTTTTTTGAACATGTTCGTCCCGTCAGAGTTTTGTGTGAATATTATATTTTTAGTCTCCCACTATTTTTTTGTTTTAAGAAAATCCTTATTATAAGAGGTAATGATTTGTGTCGCTAATTTTGAACTGATTTCGATCGAAAAAAAAGGTACCTAATCAAAAATCTCGAAAACGGAGTGATGACAAACCCATTTTTGATTTTTCTATGTTCGACCAAAAAATTTAGTATTTTTGTATCCTTACTAACCTTCGGAATTATTAAACCACTGAAAAAACCAACTTGAAATCGTATACGCTTCATTGTAGTGGGTCACATGCACTATACTGTAACGAATAATTTACCCTACATCGATATCAACAATACAAAAATTGTATTAATAACTAATTAAGACTCGTACAACACATCATAAAAATATTTATTTTACATAATTTTAAGTGGTTTTGAAGTTTTTGACTCTCTTTTGAATGACAACATAATTATTAATTTCATATTCCAAAGCAGAATAGTATTATAAAAATCAAATTTCACGTAAGTCAAGTTGTTTATTACCTAGTTATAAGCGTTTAAAGTATTCAGATGAGCCGAGTATAGTAGATCGATGTTTTGCTGAGTTTCCCTATACCATCGCTCCACTTAACTTTAAATATTTATAAGTAACTCATAATTTACTCTTCTAAACTTCGATTTTCGTCTACCAATAAGTAGTCCAAAAGATATATATATACTACTCTGGACTAAGGAAAAATGCATATGTTGTCATTGAAAAATGTTGTTTTTTCACGACTTAAAGTTATGTAAAAAAAAATATGTTCAGAAACGTTAATATAGTTTTTGAAATAATAAATGTCCAAATGGATCACTCGGTGTAAAACGTTTTATAATTTTATTTATTTATGCAGATCGAGATCGTATTCGATTTTCCGTCGATTAAACACGTAAATATGTAACAACCTAACCTCGTTGCGGTTGCGGTATATATACCTAGGTGCAAAGTCTAAATAAAATTTTAACGCCAAACGATGTATACAAATATTATGACGTACTATCCCATACCTATACTCGTATAATATGTTATATTGGTGGTTGAACAATTTTAAGTCTGCTTCGTATATTATTATATAATAAAGCCGGCGTGGTATACCTACGTAAGGCACTTTACAACGCGTTTGATGCAAGCAGTATTACGTATAATGGTTTTCCCGTGTTTACCCGACCGAATACTTTGACTTTTTTTTTGTAACGTCCTTAAATGAATTTAATTTAATATAAATAGGTAGTCGATTGTATATAAAAATCTACCGCGGTAGTTCATATAATATATACGATGTTGTGTGTGTGTATAGTTTATCGTTTCATCTGTACGTCTAGCGCGGTGAACATATATATTATATTATTATGTATAGGTACGAACGGAAAACGTTGATTTATATATTATTTTTACATAAAACCCGACGCGAGTTTAACCTTTTTGAAATTTATTCGTTTTTATCGGCACGGAGACGGCTAAATACGAAATCGAAAATCGGGTTTCACCGCTTTTCAGTTCGTAATTAAAGCGAGTCACAGAAAATTCCGAAACATTTTTCGGTCCGGTCCAGCGGCGAGTCTCGACGGTTCATTTTTAATTATAAGAAGGGCTACCTTACAGTACCTACTTGTAGCATGTAAAACAATAAAAAAAAAAAAACCATTTATGTATTATTAAATAGACAATAAACACCAAACACGTAGAAATATACAAGGAAATTTTTTCAAAACAAAAAATGTGTATAATATAATGCAATAATGTATAGGTAACTTATATTTTTAATTGGTTTTTGAACATTTCATGAGAATTATAAAAAACAAATAAATCATACTTTCCTAGAAAATTCGTAATTTTTAGTGTATTAAAAACAGAAAATATATATTGTATTTGCCTATTTAAATACAAATTAATAGAAAATAATATATTTTGCTTGAAAAGTGTGATTAGATTTTTTCTGAAATATAAATATATTAAATAATTTATTCATATAATAAATACAAAAAAAAAGTATTAAAATATGTGTTTTTAGTAAATAAACTCAAATTTTAAAACTATTTAACACATTATTATGATGGTAATATAATGATCATCCACGAAGAACTGTAATAATAAATGTTAACAAAATTATCTTTAAAATATAGAAAATTGAAATGGCAAATGGATTTTCTGTAATTTTAAACATAGGTATTTGCTGTTTGTGTCTTCTGTGTTTTATTGATGACTGATGAGAGATGAAATTTAGTGTCATAATACCGCTTTAAAACTCTCTGGTTGTGTGGTTGTGGTATTCCGTATATCTTTCCTAACCTACGCATAGTGATGGTAATAGGAAATTTCCATTAAGAAATTTCATAACAACCATCTTTTAATTTGTAATGCATTTTTTTATTTAGATTAATTAAATTTAGATAATTAAAAAAATTAAAGTACATAATATATTATATGTATATTGTATAGGTATATACATTGAAATTAAGTTTATAAAAATTATTTAAGATTAATAATAAAGCCAAAATATAATGAAATATATTTCTAAATTTAATGAAAAAATATTTCAAATTTGTATAGTACCTACCGAGTACCGACAAACGAAAGTACCTTATTCAAAATTAAAAATTAAAAATTTTCATAAATTTCAGTAATTTCCCCTTAGAAATATCTCAAAACTTAAATTTCTAAAATGTTACATCTCTACACTTATAGGTACATAATATACGCACCATGGTACATATTTCAATATATTATGAATGTGATTTTAATATAAATTATATCCATACATTACATTCCAAAAAACCGTGCTGTGCAGCTAGTATAATAATATACGATTAATCGGGGCGTGTATACCATTTTAATGGGACGTTTGTCCTCGTAATTTTTGTCACGCCAAAAATTTAACAATAACTTATCCTGTCGATTTGGTTTTCAATTTTTTTCCTCGTACGTCTATTTTTTACATCGGCTGGGCGTATCGCGTACATGCCGCATTACACACATATATACGTACCTACCTATACATACAATAATAATAATATATATAATACGTTTATATACGTTTCGTGTACCCGTTTCTTCTTACGCGCGCGCCATCGCATAAGCCGCCCAGAGTCCCCCATTTATGACGTTGGTAGGGGGGTAGGTGGAGGACCGAAGATATTTTGTTGTAAATCTCAAAGAAGAAGAAGAAGTGAAAAAAAAAACCGAAAGAAATTCACAATGAAGACTCGGTGCGCAAGGTGGTCGGGGCCACCTGGCGCTTTGGTCGTTTACACCTGCTCTCGGAACCCACCTCTCCCTACCCATCGCACACACCACCCCACTCGCCCACTCGTCTTCCCCACACTCGACGGTATTATATATTTTTATTATTATCATCATCATCATCATCATCGCCGTCGTCGTCGTAGTTGTTGCAGCTCTCTCGCTACACGCACGTACATAAGCCGGAGCTATCTCCCGAGAGCGGTCGTTTCGCCCTCGTCTGTGCACGCGCACAGAATTAACGAGTGATGACCATCGCCATAGGTACCTCTAGTGAATTAAGCGGCTCGTGCCTAGCCAATATAGTGATAAAAACGGGGAGAATAATGACGATGACGAATAAAAAAAAAAAAAACGCACTCAGCACACGCTCGCGAGCTCG